TGTCCTAACAGTAGGTTGTATGAAATAATTTAAATGTATTATATTTAGGTAAATAGCTCAGCTATAGAGCAGAAGTATTAACTTAAAAATATTAATTAAAAAGTTGAAAATAAATAGGTGGGCATAGTGGCTCATGCCTATAATCCCAGCATTTTGGGAGGCTGAGGCAGGAGGATAGTTTGAGTTCAGGAGTTTAAGACCAGCTGGGGTAACATAGTGAGACCCTGTCTCCATAAAAAAAATTAAAAATTAGCCAGGTATGGTGGCCACTCAGGAGAACTGTGTGAGCCTGGGAGGTGAGGCCGCAGTGAGCTGTGGTTGTCCCACTGCATTCCAGCCTGAGTGACAAAGCGAGACTCTGCCTCAAAAAAAAAAAAAGTTAAAAATAAAAGTGTTAGTAAACTTTTACATAACACATGAACGATATTTATATTATGTAATTTATGTTAGAATAATTGTGAGAGAATGGTGGACCACTGCTTTTTTCAAAAAGTTGAGAATAAAGTAGATTACTGAGCTAGATTGTTAAAATCTGGATTTTTAAAATGAATTGTATTTTAAACCTCATGACATTTTTTATTGAATTATTATTTTTTTTATTATACTTTAAGTTCTGGGGTACATGTGCAGATTGTGCAGGTTTGTTACATAGATATACACATATCACAGTGGTTTGCTGCATCCATCCCCCTGTCATTTACATTAGATATTTCTCCTAATGTTATCCCTCCCCAGTCCCCCCCACCTGCTGCTATCTCTCCCCTAGCTCCCCATTCCCCCAACCGGCCCCGGTGTGTGATGTTCCCCTCATGGTGTTCATGTGTTCTCATTGTTCAATACCCACTTATGAGTGAGAACATGTGGTGTTTGGTTTTCTGTTCTTGTGTCAGTTTGCAGAGAATGATGGTTTCCAGCTTTATCCATGTCCCTGCAAAGGACATGAACTCATCCTTTTTTATGGCTGCATAGTATTCCATGGTGTATATGTGCCACATTTTCTTTATCCAGCCTATCATTGATGGGCATTTGGGTTGGTTCCAAGTCTTTGCTATTGTAAACAGTGCCGCAGTGAACATACATGTGCATGTGTCTTTATAACAGAACAATTTATAATTCTTTGGGTATATACCCAGTAATGGGATTGCTGGGTCAAATGATATTTCTATAGCTAGATCCTTGAGGAATCACCACACTGTCTTCCACAATGGTTGAACTAATTACACTCCCACCAACAGTGTAAAAGTGTTCCTATTTCTTCACATCCTCTCCGGCATCTGTTGTCTCTTGATTTTTTTCTTGAGACAGAGTTTCACTCTTGTTGCCGAGGCTGGAGTACAATGGTGTGATCTTGGCTCAGTGCAACCTCTGACTCCCAGGTTCAAGTGATTCTGCTGCCTCAGCCTCCCAAGAAGCTGGAATTACAGGCATGTACCACCAAGCCTGACTAACTTTGTATTTTTCACTAGAGACAGGGTTTCTCCCTGTTAGTCAAGCTGATCTCGAACTCCCTACTCAGGTGATCCACCCCGCTCAGTCTCCTAAAGTGCTGGGATTATAGTTGTGAGCCACTGCGTCCGGCCTTGTCTCCTGATGTTTTAATGATTGCCATTCTAACTGGTGTGAGATGGTGTCTCAATGTGGTTTTGATTTGCATTTCTCTAATGACCAGTGATGAAGAGCTTTTTTCATGTTTGTTGGGTGCATAAATGTCTTCTTTTGAGAAGTGTCTGTTTATATCCTTTGCCCACTTTTTGATGGGGTTGTTTTTTTCTTGTAAATTTGCTTAAATTCTTTGTAGATTCTGGTTATTTGCCCTTTGTCAGATGGATAGATTGCAAATTTTTTTTTCCATTCTGTTGGTTGCTGGTTCACTCTAATGTATAAGACCTAATTTTTTTTAGAGCAGTTTTAAGTTCACAACAAAGAGGAAGGTACAGAGATTTCCCATCTATGTACTGTTGCCACACACGCAATAGCCTCCCATCTGTCAACATTCCCCACCAGAATGGAATATTTGTTACAGATGATGACTCTCCATTGATACAACATAACCCGAAGTCCATAGCTTATATTAGGGTTCACTGTTGGTGTTGTATATTCTCTTGGTTTTGACACAGGTATGGTGACTTATGTCTACTCTATAGTATCATATAAAATAGTTTCACTGCCCTGAGAACCCTCTATGCTCCTTCTATTCATCCCTCCTTTTCTTTTAACCCCTGGACCCCGCCGGTCTTTTTACTGTCTTCATAGTTTTCCAGAATCCCCTTTACCAGAATGTCATATTGATGGAATCATACATTATGTAACCATTTCAGATTGACTTCTTTCACTTGGTATTATGCATTTAAGGTTTCTTCATATCTTTATAAGGCTTAATAGCTAATTTATTTTAGTGTTGAATAATATTCCATTATTTGGATGTACCACAGTTTTTTCATTCGCCTACTGAAGGACATCTTGATTGCTTCCAAGTTTTGTTACTTATGAATTAAACTTTGATCAAACATCCATGTGCAGATTTTTGTGTGGACATAAATTTTCCACTTTTTTGGATCAATACCAAGGAGCTCAATTGCTAAATCATATATATGGTAAAAGTATGTTTCATTTTGTTAAGAAACTACCAAACTTTCTTCCAAACTGGCTGTACCATTTTGTGTTCCCATGTGCAATAAATGATCATTCTTGTTCCATCTCCTTGCCAGCATTTGGTGTGATCAGTGTTCTGGAATTTGGCCATTATAATACGTGTGCATTGGTTATCTTTTTGTTTTAATTTGCATTTCCCTCATGACATATGATGTGGAACATCTTTTCATGTGCTTTTTTTTTTTTTTTTTTTTGCAGCTATATGTCTCTTTTGGTGAGGTGTCTGTTAAGGTCGTTGGTCCATTTTTTAATTGGGTTGTTTTCTTATTTTTGAGTTTTGGGAATTTTTTGTATATTTTAGATAACAGCCCTTTATATGTCTTTTGCAAATATTTTCTCCTAGCCTGTGACTGTGTTTTCATTCTCTTGGCAGTGTCTTTTGTAGAGCAGAAATGTTTAATTTTAATGCAATCCAGTGTATTGATTTTTTTCTTTTATAAATCATATCTTCAGTGTCACATCTAAAAAGTCATCACCAAATCTAAGGTCATCTAGATTTTCTCTTATCTTCTAGGAGTTTTATAGTTTTGTGTTTTACATTAAGGCTTGCGATACATTTTGAGTTAATTTTTGTGAAGGGTATAAAGTCTTCCTCTAGATTCATCTTTTGCATGTGGATGTCTATTGTTCTAACATCATTTATTGAAAAGGCTATTTTTTTTTTTTTTGAGACGGAGTTTCACTCTTGTTACCCAGGCTGGAGTGCAATGGCGCGATCTCGGCTCACCACAACCTCCGCTTTCTGGGTTTAGGCAATTCTCCTGCCTCAGCCTCCTGAGTAGCTGGGATTACAGACACGTGCCACCACACCCAGCTAATTTTTTGTATTTTTAGTAGAGACGGGGTTTCACCATGTTGACCAGGATGGTCTCGATCTCTTGACCTCGTGATCCACCCGCCTCGGCCTCCCAAAGTGCTGGGATTACAGGCGTGAGCCACTGCGCCCAGCCTGAAAAGGCTATTTTTTTAAAACAGTGTATTGCCTTTGCTCCTTTGTCAAAGATTAGGTGATTTTTTATATTTAGTGGGTCTGTTTCTGTGCTCTCTATTCTATTCCATTGACCTATTTGTCCTTTACCAGTACCATACTGTCTTATTATAGTGTTACAGTAAGTCTTTAAGGTGAGTAGTGTCAGTCCTCTAACTTTATGCCCTGTAAATATTGTATTGGCTATTCTGAGTCTTTTGCCTCTCCCTATAAACATTAGAATCAGTTTGTTCTTATTTATGAAATAACTTGCTGGGATTTTGATTGGGATGGCATTGAATCTATAGATCAAGTTGGAAAGAAATGATATCTTGATAATATTAAATCATCTTATCTATGAATATGGAATCTCTTCCAACTTATAGTTTTTCTCCTATAGATCTTGTAAATATTTTTTATAGTTTGATACCCAAGTATTTCAATTTTTTAGGTGCTTATGTAAATGGTATTGTGTTTTTTTATGTCAAATTCCACTTGTTCATTGCTGGTATATAGGAAAGTAATTGACCTTTGTATATTAGCTTTATATCCTGCAATATTGCCATTATTGCTTATTCCAGTTTTCTTGTGAATTCTTTTGGATTTTCTTCCATGATTATTTTAAAAAAGCAAATTGGTGGTTATTTAACTAGGGTTACTAGGTAGTTGTAGATTATTAAATATAGAACTATTCTTTTTTTTTTTTTTTGAGACAGAGTTTCACTGTTGTTACCCAGGCTGGAGTGCAATGGCGCAATCTTGGCTCACCGCAACCTCCGCCTCCTAGGTTCAGGCAATTCTCCTGCCTCAGCCTCCTGAGTAGCTGGGATTACAGGCACGCACCACCATGCCCAGCTAATTTTTTGTATTTTTAGTAGAGACGGGGTTTCACCATGTTGACCAGGATGGTCTCGATCTCTTGACCTCGTGATCCACCCGCCTCAGCCTCCCAAAGTGCTGGGATTACAGGCGTGAGCCACTGCGCCCGGCAGAACTATTCTTAACAAAATCTTGCTACTTCTGAAAGTCAGCTTTCTTGGAATTATTTTAGGAGATAGCAGATCTCAGTGAATTTCAGAGCCTTCAAAGTCATATTAAGGTAAAACTATATGTTACATACATATTTCTAAAAATTGTGATAAATACACATATTATTTACCATCTTACCCATTTTAAGTTTACAGCTTAGTAGGCTATGTGTATTCACACTGCTGTGCAACCAACCTCCAGAACATTTTTTATCTTGCAAAACTGGAACTCTCTACCCATTAAATAGCAACTCACAATTTTCCTCTGCCCTCATTCCCTGGCAACTACCATTCTACTTTTTGTTTTTATGAATTTGACTATGTTGGATACCTCATATAGGTGAATCATACAATATTTGTCTTTTTGTGACTAACTTATTTCACTTAGCATAATATATTCAAGGTTCATGTATGTGTATCGTGTCATAATTTACTTCCTTTTTTAGGCTGAATGTTCTATTGCATGTGTGTACACACATATATACCACATTTTGTTTATGTACTGTCAGTGGACATTTAGGTCCATTTTGCCTTTTGGCTATTGTGAATAACAATACTGTTATTAACATGGGTATACAAATATCTGTTTGAGTTATTGCTTTCAATTCTTTTGGGTATATACTAGAAGTGGAATTGTTGGATCATATGATCATTGTATTTTCAATTTTTTTAGGAATCAACATACGATTTTCTGTAGTAGCTGTGCCATTTTACCTTTCTACCAACATTGTATAAGTGTTCTATGTCCTTGCTAACACTTGTTATTTTCTTTCTTTCTTTTATAATGTAGTAGCCACTCTAAGGCCTGTAAAGTAGTATGTGGCTGTGGTTTTGATTTTCATTTCCACTAATGACTGCATTAGCAACGTTGAGCATTATTTCATGTACTCATTGGTCATTTGTATATCTTCTTAGGAGAAATGTCTGTTCAAGTTCTTCACCCATTTAAAAATATTTTGCCATTTTTTGTTGAGTTTTAGGAGTTATTTATATAGTCTTGATAATAAGCACTTATCAGATGTGGTTTGCAAATGTTTTCTTCCATTTCATAGATTGCTTTTTCAGTCTGCAGATAGTGTCCTTTGGTGCACAAAAGTTTTTGATTTGGAGTCCAATTTATCTGTTTTTACTTTTGTTGCTGGGCTTTGTGTCATATCCAAGAAATCATCACCAAATCAAATGTAATGAAGTGCTCCTTCTGTTTTCTTCTAAGAGTTTTATTTTTTTAAGTCTTATGTTTGGGTCTGTGATCAATTTTGAGTTATTTTTGTATATGGCATAAGGTAAGGGTCCAACTTCATTCTTTTGCATGTGAGTATCCAGTTTTCCCAGAAGCATTTGTTGAAAAGACTGCCCTTTCCCTGACCATTGAATAGTCTTAGCACCCTTGCTAAAAATATTTTGACCATATATGCTAAAGTTTATTTCTTGGCTCTGTATTTATTCCATTGGTCTATATGTCTGTATTTATATACATATTTTTAAAGAATATAATTAGTAAGCTCTTTTCTTTTCTTTTCTTTTTGAGACAGAGTCTTGCTCTGTTGCCCAGGCTGGAGTGCAGTGGTGTGATTTTGGCTCACTGCAACCTCTGCTTCCTGGGTTCAAGCGATTCTCCTGCCTCAGCCTCCCAAGTAGCTGGAACTACAGGTATGCACCACCACGCCTTAGTACATTTTGTATTTTTAGTAGAGATGGGGTTTCACCATGTTGGCCAGGCTGGTCTTGAACTCCTGACCTGAGGTTATCCGCCTGCCTCGGCCTCCCAAAGTGCTGGGATTACAGGCGTCAGCCACCATGCCTGGTCAATTGGTATGTTTTAAAATAAAGTCTTGGGCCAGGTGCAGTGGCTCATGCCTGTAATCCCAGCACTTTGGGAGGCCAACACAGGTGGATCATGAGGTCAGGAGATCGAGACCATCCTGGCTAACATGGTGAAACCCCATCTCTACTAAATACATAAAAAATTAGCTGGGTTTGGTGGCACGCACCTGTAGTCCAGCTACTCGGGAGGGTGAGTCAGGAGAATCGCTTGAACCAGAGAGGCAGAGGTTGCAGTGAACTGAGATCGCACCACTGCACTCCAGCCTGGGCTACAGAGCGAGACTCTGTCTTAATCAATCAATCAATCTTAGTTGTAAATTTGATAGTCTTTACTAATGTAGAGATGGTGAAACTTTACCTCCATTTTCTTAGAGTCTTGACTGGGACCAAGAATTAAACTGATAGAAGATAAACAGGAGAAAAGCATACACATTTATTGAATACAAGTTTTATGTGGCATGGGAGTCTTCATAAAGAAATGCAGAATTGAAAATGCTGTTAGAGTCAATTACTTGAATGGTGAATTGGACAAACAATAGTAAGTTGGGAAAATGTGATAAGCCAAAGGGGATTAGGCTAGGATAGTTAATTGTGTAGATAAGTAGCCAGGAAGATAAAGGTTAGTATAACTAGGTTTGTTTGTACGAATTCCTTTGGCCTCAACTTTTTGTCCTCTGTGGTAAGAATGTTGCATCTTTTATATAGGAATTTCATTTCTTGTCTTAAGAACTAGCATGAATGTCATAGTGATCTTTTTTTCACCTACTGTTTTTCAAGTGCTATATTAACTTAAATAGTTAATATGCCAGAATGGTATAATTTTTTCCATTAGTGAGTCCTGAGATTTTATTTTCCTTTCACAGTATACATAGAAAAATTTCTCTCCTACCCCATTCCCATCAGTCCCATTTCTCCTGCATCCTATAGGCAACCACTTCATAAGCAAATACAAATATATAAATTCTATTGTCTCTCCTTTTTAAAACTTTATCTTATGGTTACTTTCTACTGTCCTAATAAAGGCATATTTTTACTTTTTAGGTTCTATGCTTTAAAGAATGGTATGGCTATATATACAACTTCTAAGTTGTTACCATATGTTGAAGCAAAATATATTATTATTTTTACTAGTAATTTACATTTAACATGCATCACGATCCTAAAAACATCAAACTGTCTTCATAACATCCTCCAAACAAGAGAGAACAGCACTGCTGTTCTACACTGTGGCTCTTGCCCAGTCTAGAGTTGTAAGAAATAATTCTTTAGTTGCTGTGATGCCCTGGGTAGGTTTCATTCTTAAGTAATGTACTTTGTCTATAGTAACTCCCTACAAATATGTGAACAGAAGATCTTGATGACACATGGTGATGTTTGTTTGCCTTTGTTCTCCGAAGTTTTTATGGTTGTTGCTTCTGTTATTACTCCCATCAAGAACTGGAGCTGACCTGATGTCATGATCTACAAAAAAATATATATATATATATATATATATATATATATATATATATTTGAGATGGAGTTTTGCTCTTGTTGCTCAGGCTGGAGTGCAATGGCATGATCTTGGCTCACCACAACCTCTGCATCCTGGGTTCAAGCGATTCTCCTGCCTCAGCCTCCCGAGTAGCTGGGACTACAGGTGCATGCCACCACGCCCAGCTATTTTTTTTTGTATTTTTAGTAGAGACAGGGTTTCACCATGTTGGCCAGGGTGGTCTCGATCTCTCAACCTCGTGATCTGCCCACCTCTGTCTCCCAAAATGCTGGGATTACAGGTGTGAGCCACTGCACACAGCAGAAAAATAATTTTTTTTTTTTTTGAGACAGAGTTTCACTCATGTTACCCAGGCTGGAGTGCAATGGCGCAATCTCGGCTCACCGCAACCTCCGCCTCCTGGGTTCAGGCAATTCTCCTGCCTCAGCCTCCTGAGTAGCTGGGATTACAGGCACGCACCACCATGCCCAGCTAATTTTTTGTATTTCTAGTAGAGACGGGGTTTCACCATGTTGACCAGGATGGTCTCGATCTCTTGACCTCGTGACCCACCCGCCTCGGCCTCCCAAAGTGCTGGGATTACAGGCTTGAGCCACCGCGCCCGGCCAGAAAAATAATTTTTAATTTTTTAGATCTCATGTCACTGTAGACCTGCTTCTTTGAATACCATTTAGTTCTCCATACTCTAGCCATCAGGCATAATGGTTGTGCATTGATGCCTCCACGTTAATGGACAGTAAGGATCACAAGTTGGGCTCAAACACTCTAGCATTTGCTTAAGTAAAGGGGTGTGTTGTGTTCTTGCAACAAATCCCACATATAAATACATATGCATATTGTCCCACAAACATCCCCAAGCAGAAACCAGGGTTAGGTACAGAATAATCTCAAGAAAATTTTGGTTGCTAGGTCTTCGATGAGTCTTTCTTAGGCTGGTATTTTGACACTACGTGCACCATTGTTTCTCAACTGCTGTGTTGTACTGTGTCAGTTGTTTCACCACATTATCACTAAAAACTTGGTCTCCCTAAAAACACTAACTTCTTGGGGCCTGTGCCTCAGTGGGAGCTTTTGGTCTTGACTTTAGCTTTTTGGAGGACAGAGCCCCTTTCCCCTCTGTAGTGTTATTAGTGAATCAACCCTGAAGAGATAAAGTGTTAGGGCCTCAGCCTCCCAAGAGGCTGTCACTGGAGAATGGTTTCACTGACCTCAGCCCTTGGGCATTTCCACAGCACATTCTCCCCCTAACTACTCTACACCTGCCAAATGCCTACCTAGCTCTTGTAATAGGAAGGCTGGGAACTCCACTCAAAAACCATACAAAAAACCAGTTTGTACATTTGGTTACCTCCCTAGCACTCACAGTCACTGTGTTTCTCTTTTCCAACAGCAGTCACTCTCATGCAGTTTAAGTGATCTATTGATGTCTTAGCTAACCTTGCTATTGTTTCAGAACATTTCAGCCATCAAGGTTTTTTAAGAAGAGCATTCTGTAACAGAGCCATGCTGCTTCCTTGTGTCTGCCAATGTGTCCTTAGCCAGCCTCATTCTTCTTCAGCTTTTCCACTTTGGCAACATAGATCCTCATGATGTCCATCTTAGACATTCCTTTGTTCACATTACATGCCTCCCACTTGGAGTTGGCTTTCACATCTGAGGCTGGAGGGCAGCAATGTTGCAATTGATTTGTGTGGGCTGTTTGTAGAAGCTGTACACCAGCAGTTTTCTCATAAATGTACACAGGACCCTTCAGCTGCTTGAGGGCAGTCCAGGCCAGCTCAAAAACTCTACTTGGCACATTGTGGGAGGAGTGGCCAGTCTCCTCTGTCCTTTCTAGGTGAAATTGGTGCTAGAAGTGTCATCAGGTTACCTCATCCATAGGAGTGGGATGTTGATGATGTATCTTCCTCACTGAGTTTTGGGGGACTTTTCATGGAGAATACCTATGTACAGTGTCTAGTACAGGGCCATGCATGTTGTAGCTCTGATCAAACTCGCAGTAGAGAGTGGTATAATTTTAACTCTTCATAAACATTTCAAGATAGTAGGAAGAAAGTATGATACCAAGTTTTGGATACATGGCCTTTTTAAAAAAAATTACAAATTGAAAATCCAAATTTATTAATAATAGCTGCAAATATCTGACTACTTTATTATGTTTTCAAGTTCATATCAGCCTAAACATTAATATTTATGCTATGTTAAAATCCTTTTATTTCTCCTATAAATTACTTTTTATTTTATTATACCTTAAGTAGTGGGGTACATGTGCACAATGTGAAGGTTACATAGGTTATATATGTGCTTACATAGCCTTTTAATGAAGCAAAAACTTTTAGACATTAGCATTCCAAATGAAATTTATTCTAGCAATAAGACACATGTGATAGCTAATATAAATTACTGTGCAAATTACTTCAGATCTGAGAAATCTGGAAAATAGTTGAAAAAGCTCATGGGTTTGTTCCTGAAGGACACTGTGAACCTGTCTGTGCCAGGGCAGATACTACCAAGCTGTTCCTGCCTATATCACTCTTCTTTAGAGCTATGGTAGCTTCATAATCCTTTCAGGTTCTAGCAAAGCAGGAATATCAATTTACTGGAATGTTTAATAAACATTCTCAGATGGACAACATCTGGGAAATAACAGCACTTATAAATCATACATTATCAAAGATCATAATATATACTTCTATCTAAAGTTGGTTTTCTGTATATTTGAGTTAATTTTTCTAGAGATATGTGAAGTGGGGAAAATGGGTACTTTAAGAACTATGATTTGTTTAATTTTCACCTAGATAATCAGCAAACATTATTATTATCATTATATAGAACAACACAGCTGTATCAAAATCTGTATTTTATATTTAATATCTCACAGGAAAGGTATTTTGGGTTAATGACTATTTACCAGAAAATCTGGAGAAAATTTTGCAATCTTGACAAAATCCTATTTTTTAAATACAATTTTTCTCTAAAAATTAGTTAACTTTTGATTATCTGTACGATAAAGAAGAATGGGAATAGTAAAATGAAAATTTTCTGGTAACTCTATATCTCTTTTTAGTTTTTCTTACATGTTATACATTATTAAAATTTTTTCAGAGCAATAACAAAATGAAAAACATGTAATTTGAGTTTCATCTTTTTTGGTCATATCCTCTGGTAGAGGTACAGATAAATGGGAAGTAGAAAAATCTGAAATGTAAAAGCCTCCAATCTTATCAACTTTTAACTCTAAGGTTTAATTATATAATGTAATTGTATAGCAGTTAACAATGTTGATTATTATAGATGTCTATAATTGTGAAATATTGGTTATCTGCTAAAGAATGGGTGTCAGAACTGTGAAGGGTATGAGATTTTATCCTCTTTATTAGCAAACAAGTTACCACACTATAGTTTCATGGGTGCTGGTAGAAGACATGAGACTCCTGAGTCAGAGATCAATGATAGTAGCCAGGGTATTGGCATTTTTTCTTTTCTTTTCTTTTTTAATGGATTCTCTGAGCTGTATTCCTACAGAACAATGTTAAGAGGGCTAGATGTCACCTACACACAGAGTGAGCAGTGTAAAGGAGAGGCATTCTGAGCTTAAAGAACTAAAATCTCATATGCCCGCCCCTTGCTCCAGAGGGAAACAGTATCTGTGTTCCCAGGGGCAGTCAGGGCAAACTACTCATAGCAGTAATTTGAGAGAACCATGGAGAACTATCTTCTAATAATGGGTCTGGACTGAAACATTTGCATAATAAATACTGTATTTATAATGTAAATTAATAATGTAAACAAGAGCAGAAGAAGTTTTTTTTTTTTTTTTTTTGAGACAGGGTCATACTCTGTTGTCCAGGTTAGAGTGCAGTGGTGTGACCATGGCTTACTGTAGCCTTGAACTCCTGGGCTCAAGTAATTCTCCTGCCTCAGCTTCACAAGCATGTACCACCACGCCTGGCTAATTTTTCTAGAGACAGCGTTTCACTATGTTGCATAGGCTAGTCTTGAACTCCTGGGCTCAAGTGATCCTTCAGCCTTCATCTCCTAAAGCACTGAGACTGCAGGAATGAGCCACTATGCTTGCCTCCTACTGCCCCATTTTAAAGTACTTGGGAGAACAAAGTTTAAATATGCTCTTTTTGTAGCACCTAATTAAGGTACAATTTAAGACACTTTCAAAATGTTTTCATTATTGAAAATAAGTAGACTAAAGACTTACGATCATTTTGCTGTTATGTTGTATGTTTTTGAAATAATAAAACTTTATTTTGAAAACACTCCACTTAGAACTCTTAACTAATTCATATGATTCATACTGTCTCCTTGTTAAGAATCCACACAGGGAGATTTTAAGTCTGTATCAAGCCATGAAAAAGTTTAGATATGAAAAAGGCAGGTTTCTTTTGTTCTTATTGTTTACACCAGACCAAAGTGAATCATTCTGAGAGAATCACCATCTCTGATTTCCTGCAAATAAACAAATAAAAATAATTAAAATAATGTTTAGGCAGAGTAAAAAGTAACATTTGTATCTTTACTATTTTTAAGTATTTAAAAATAGTGAAACAAAATAGTTTAAAATGCACTACCCATAGATACATAAGAGAACTGTATACTTATCTGACTTGATCATCCAAATTTTGATATGATATTCATAAAAATTAGTCAAGAAATAATAAGCATTAAAAGGCAAAGAAAGGACAGGATGTTAATTGAAATTTGTAAGCATCTGAAAGCTTCTCCAATGAAAAATTGCAAACTGTATGTCATTTGGATTCTTCAGTGTGATTTTAAAATACTGTGTGTTCTGAAAGGTATTATATGGCATATATTTCTTAATTTCAGTGTTTTAATGAGCATTTGATAGTGGCTTGAGGTAATGGTTTATAAAATAGAGAAGATTGTGGTTTTATAAGACTTTCATAACATTTTATGAAGCTGAAAAGAAGTATTAGCAAGAACTTCATCTATTTCCCATTTGTTATTATTTCTTTCTTTTGCACTCCCCCCATCCGCTCCCATCCCTATCAGTTACAGAAAAACAGAAGATTTTATGGGCTTTTGAAGTTGGATGATGTCTGAAGATAAGACGAAAGATGAGTGATATTATGTGAAAAATAATACAGTGGGGACATTTTTAAAAATTTGAAGATAAACTTCTTAGAGTTGAAATGGAAAAGTGAAAGGTAAAGAGTAGGGATAATAGCATTTAAACTGTCATGTCATAATTGGAGACATTTTTCTTAAAGTATAGGTGAAAATAATTTAAAAAATAAATTTGTTCTGTAAGTTATATCTTAAAAATTATTACTAAGAGAAGCCTTTCAGAAGTCTGCATTTATACTATTTTAAGTACTCACATCTCAAAGGAAACAGGTATGGAGCTAAAAAAATAAGGGCAACACATGTATGTATATATGTGCCTGCAGATCTTGATGTATACAAAATTGAAAAAAAAAAAAAAAAACCTGGAAAAACAGGTAGCAAGAAGAATGTGTAATTTAATAGTGCCTGGGGCTTGAGTGTGTGTGCTGGCAAGTTCCGGGGTTTTAGATAGCTTTGAATTTAAAAAGAAAACTAAGCACTGTCATTTTTAAAACATAAGCTTCAACTCTTGGCTTATAAACTACCATACCAAAGTCTAGTTTGTATACCATGAGAATGGTCATTGAGAAAATGAGTTCGGTTTTGGCCTTGTTCATCAACTGGCAGAGATCTTAGGTAAATTATTTTATTTTCCTAATATCTAGATATACTTGTTGCTAGAAGGCTGATGGCATACCTAAGAAGTATCATGTGGTTCAGCCTTGTTGTTGATGTTATGCAGTGTCTGCTCTCCATGATTTAATCCTCTCTTACTTTAGGAATTATATTTTAAAAAGTTAGAATCATAGAATTAACTTCTCAAGGATCTTCCAGGATTTTAAAAAAACAAAACAAAAAATTTTCCTTTGGAGGATTTCCTTTAGAATTCACTACATTTTAAAAAGACTTAAGGCTGGCTGGGCATGGTGGCTCGCGTCTGTAATTCCAGCACTTTGGGAGGCTGAGGCAGATAGATCACCTGAGGTCGAGAGTTTGAGACCAGCCTGACCAACACGGAGAAACCCCATCTCTACTAAAAATACAAAAAAATTAGCCAGGTGTGGTGGAACTTGCTTGAAATCCCAGCTACTTGGTAGGCTGAGGCAGGACAATCGCTTGAACCCGGGAGGCAGAGGTTGCAGTGAGCTGAGATGGTGGTATTGCACTCCAGCATGGGCAAGAAGACTAAAACTCTGTCTCAAAAAAAAAAAAAAAAGACTTCAGGGCATTTCCAAGGTTTCCATGCTAAATAACCTTAACTTATACTCTGTACTTTAGAGGGATATTTTGAAGATTTGTAAAATAATTTATATTCAATTTTTTAAACATTATTTGAAATAAAACATAATCATTAAATAAAATTTGGAAAACAGGAAAGTATGAAAATTTACCCATAGTCCTACCAGTCACATAAAACGATGGTTAACATGAATTAGTTTCCAGTCTTTTTCTCCACATACATGTTTTATTTATTTTAAACACAGCTCGAATTCTATTGTATATACAATTCTATATCTTTCCTTTTTCTTTCTTTTTTTGGCCTCACAACACTTCATAACTTTTCACTTTCTACATAGTCTGTTTTTAATAGCTGAATTTTATTCCATTAAATACTATAGCTTTATTTAACCATTCCTTTTTTGGTTATATTTGTATTGTTTCCAATTTCTTCTTTTTCATAAATAACCCTATGATTGCTATTCTTAGGCATGATTTTTTTTTCCTGTTTGTAGGATTATTTCCTTGGTATAGAACTGTAGAAATAGAATTATTGGACCAAAAGCTTATGAAATTTTAAGCTTCTGGATAAACACTGTAGAATTGGTGGTTTTGCTTTGTTTGTTTCCTAGTGTGGGAGGAGGTGATTTTGTTTAATAATAGGAAGTTGTGGTTCCAAGGAAGACTGATCTTCATTTTTTAAAAATGTGTTGAAATTGTGCTGAGCCTTGACTCAATGAAGCTACATGTTAATTCTTGTAGTAATTTTACAGCAACAAAAGGGTTTTCCCCAGTCCCTCACTGATTTCTACATATGGTTGAGTGCATTTTCAGAGCCACACCCTTTAGCTGTTACCTAATGTTGGGTGATATCAGGTTACTTTCCTTTAAATGTACACAGACTTTTGTAAGTAAATTCAGTGGACAAGTTAAGCTTTGCTTTGCTATAAACTGGATTTTGATCTGTTGCTCACTTAATACAGATTTTTGAATTTTAATAAGTGATCATCTCACAGTTTTGTTACGTTAGGTTTCGTCTGTGTTACTAATGGTCTCTTGTGAAGTTTCTGATTTGGTTTAATAATAATTACATGCCAGAAGTATAATATTTTAGGGTTGGAAGAAACCTTAAAACTCCCTAATCTGAAATTCTTTTATGTTACAGATTAACATATGAGGTTAATTAACATATGAGCTGAGGCTCATATGGGTTGAGTGTTTTGTCCAAAGTCACTTAGTAGCAGAGTTGGGATTATAATTTAGTTCTTATTTCTCTATGAAGTGTTTTTTTTTTTCCACTAGAGTTTTTTAAATGTACTAACAAAACTAGTTCCACAGGATGCTTTATGATTAACGCCTCTCTCTCTCTATTCCTATTATTTAAGGCTTTTGCTTATAAGCATGCTATAAGCAAGCACTGTATGTGGCAGGAAACACTTTCCTAAGTAAGTTGACCAGCTACGGTATTCAAGTTTCACTACTGAACACTGTGAAATTGAACTCTGCTTCTTGCATATTTGGTATCATACATAGGTTTCCTTTTCATCAACACTGCAGAATTTGGTCCTTGACATTTTTTGTAGAAAATGTAGCCTCAAACTGATTATAGTCTAGCACTTGCCAAAGGTTAGATTGAGGCTTTTGGTTCATATGAGAGACAAGTTGATAGATAAGCTAACTTTTTGACTTCTGTGTTAAGCAAACCATCAGAAAAGAATGTGCTTAGAACTTGTCATTTCACCTTTCCACAGAAATGCCTTTAGTGAATTATGATTTAATATAATTCTTTCAGCTTACAGAGTTATAAGAAACATCTCTGTGACTAGAATCAAAACTCTAAGACGTGTTTCGTTTGTTTTTCAGTTAAAAAAACATTTTTTTTGTAGAGATTGGGTCTTGCTGAGTTGCCCACACTGGCCTAAAACTCCTGGGCTCAAGCAGTTTCCCCACCTCAGCCTCTAGAGGAGCTGAGACTATAGGCATGCACTACTGTACTGAGCTTGCTTTTCTTTCTTTCTTTCTTTTTTTTTTTTTAACAGTGTTTGCTCTGTTGCCCAGGCTGGAGTGCAGAGTGTAGTGGTGTGATCTCAGCTCACTGCAGCCTCTGCCTCCCGGGTTCAAGCAGTTCTCCCTGCCTCAGCCTCCTGAGTAGCTGGAACTACAGGCACATGCCACCACGCCTGGCTAATTTTTTTGCATTTTTAGTAGAGATGGGGTTTCACCATGTTGGCCAGGCTGGTCTTGAATTCTTGACTTCAGGTAATCTGCCTGCCTTGGCCTCCCAAAGTGCTGATATTACAGGAGTGAGCCACCATGCTGGGCCACTTTTTAGTTTTTTTTTTTTTTTTTTTTACACAAATTTGTTGTTGTTGTTGTTGAGACAAGATCTCACTGTGTCATCCAGGCTGGAGTATAGTGGTACAATCAAAGCTCAGTGCAGCCTCGACCTCCCAGACTCAGGTGATACTCCCACCCCAGCCTCCTGAGTAGCTGGGACTACAGGCATGCACCACCACGCCAGGCTAATTTTTGTATTTTTTATAGAGATAGGATTTCACCATTTTGGCCAGGATGGTCTTGAACTCCTGGCCTCAAGTGATCCGCTCGCCTCTACCTCCCAAAGTGCTGGGATTATAGGTATGAGCCATTGTACCTGGCCTGCACAAACATTCTTGAGTGTGAATACAAAGTGCTGAAAAAAGTTTCCATCCAGATAAATGTACTATTTGCATATGTTAAAAAATTAAGTCAATAATAATAATAACCATGTTTAAGAACAGAATGGTTTCCCATTACCTAATTGGACAAAATAATCATATAGTCTTACTAGATTAAACATAACTATTCTCATTTTACAGATGAGGAAACAGTTTTAGAGGCGTATAGCAGTGAGGAGGTAGTGGAACAAAACTCGACTGAGACAGTTGGTCTATAATACTGCATTCTTTCTATTATATCATGATGCCTCTCAAGGTAAACCTATTTCACTTTTTTGCCTTTGCCTTCCCAATTTCAGAGCTAAACTCAGTTTTAACTTGTATATAACAGCCTGATATTCAACATTACTTACTATGCACCTTTTCTTTCTTGAAATAGGGTTGTGCTCTGTCGCCTAGGCTGGAGATCAGTGGCATAGTTACAGCTCATAGCACAATTATAGCTCTAATTCCTAGGCTTGAGGGATCTTGCCTCAGCTTCCCAAGCAGCCGGGACTACAGGCATGCACCACCATGCCTGGATAATTTAAAAAAATTTTTATTTTTGTAAAGACAGGGTCTTGTTATGTTGCTCAACTACTGGGCTCAAGTGCTCTTTTTGCCTTAGCCTCCCAAATCACTAGGATTACAGACATAAATCACCATGCCTGGCCTGCAACTTTTAATTGACTTTTGCTGTATATATAATTTATTTTAGATATGATATATAAAATACTTTTATGAAATGCCCCAAGTCTTTCAGAAAGTAAATAGATCATAAATACTGAGATAAAGTATGTTGATATATTTAAAATATTTTTTAAAAATCATTTTTTAGAGGAAAGAATATGAGAACAATTTATCAACTATTCCATCTCAATCAATACTTGAAGATACTGTCATCCATCAAGTAAATTGATAAACTTATGATAGAAGTATTAGTGAACTCAAAAATTACTACTTTATCATTTTCAGAGGTTACACACTAGTGCTCTAATAATGTAATTGTCAAAATGTAAATACTGTACACACACTCCCTATTCTATGTATGTCACTCCTGTCTTTGGGTGATAGTAAAAATAGGAAATGCAGCAGGTTACTATATGTACCATAATTCCACATTAAAAGAATCAGTTTCTGCCATTTCTAAATATAAGATTTCTGTGGCTGGGCTTGGTGGCTTACGACTGTAATCCCAGCAGTTTGGGAGGTCAAGGTGGGCAGATCACTTCAGGTCAGGAGTTCAAGACCAGCTTGGGCAACACGGTGAAACCCTGTCTCTATTAAAAATACAAAAATTAGCTAGGTGTGGTGGCATGTAATCCCAGCTACTCTGGAGGCTGAGGCAGGAGAATCACTTGAATCTGGGAGGCAGAGGTTGTAGTGAGCTGAGAACACACCTCTGCACTCTTGCCTGGGTGACAGAGTGAGACTTCATCTCAAAAAAAGAAAAATTAATAAATAAATATAAGTTTTTTTCAGACAGTATGACAATGAGTAGTACAAACAAGACAATGTAGATACGTAACTACATGATTTATTACCCTTGACTATGAGCAAAGTCAGTGGGAAGAAATAAGAGGTATGCCACATACCTAGAAACTCAAACATGTAGCCCCAAGATAACCTCTAAATTTACCTATTAAAGCTTAAAGGAGAATTCAGTTCTTTCCTTTAGTTGTTGTCATTAGCACAATTTTTTTCTAGAATGTTTCCAAGAGGTGCCTAGACCACTAGTGGTTTCATTTCTTTCTTTTCTCTTTCCTTTATTTTTTATTTATTTTTTAAAATTGCATTTTAGGTTTTGGGGTGCAGGTGAAGAACATGCAAGATTGTTGCATAGGTACACACATGGCAGTGTGATGTGCTGCCTTCCTCCCCATCACCTATATAAGCATTTCTCCCTGTGCTATCTCTCCCCAACTCCTCACCCCCCGCTGTCCCTCCCCTATTTCCCCCCAACAGACCCCAGTGTGTGATGCTCCCCTCCCTATGTCCATGTGTTCTCATTGTTAAACACCCACTTATGAGTGAGAATATGTGGTGTTTGATTTTCTGTTCTTGTGTCAGTTTGCTGAGAATGATGGTTTCCAGGTTCATCCCTGTCCCTACAAAGGACACAAACTCATCATTTTTGATGGCTGCATAATATTCCATGGCGTATATGTGCCACATTTTCCCTGTCCAGTCTATCATCGATGGGCATTTGTGTTGGTTCCAGGTCTTTGCTATTGTAAACTGTGCTGCAATGAACATTCGTGTGCATGTGTCCTTATAGTAGAATGATTTATAATCCTTTGGATATATACCCAGTAATGGGATTGCTGGGTCAAATGGAATTTCTATGTCTAGGTCCTTGAGGAATCCCCACACTGTCTTCCACAATGGTTGAACTAATTTACACTCCCACCAACAGTGTAAAAGTGTTCCTGTTTCTCCACATCCTCTTCAGCATCTGTTGTCTGCAGATTTTTTAATGATCGCTATTCTAACTGGCGTGAGATGGTATCTCAATATAGTTTTTATTTGCATTTCTCTAATGACCAGTGATGATGAGCATTTTTCATATGTTTGTTGGCCTCATGTATGTCTTCTTTTGTAAGGTGTCTGTTCATATCCTTCGCCCACTTTTGAATGGGCTTGTTTGTTTGTTTCTTATAAATCTGTTTTAGTTCTTTGTAGATTCTGGTTATCAGCCCTTTGTCAGATGGGTAGACTACAAAATTTTTTTCCCATTCTGTTGGTTGTCGATTCATTCTAATGACTGTTTCTTTTGCCGTGCAGAAGCTGTGGAGTTTGATTAGGTCCCATTTGTCTATTTTGGCTTTTGTTGCTAATGCTTTTGGTGTTTTAGTCATGAAGTCCTTGCCTACACCTATGTCCTAAATGGTTTTGCCTAGATTTTCTTCTAGGGTTTTTATGGTGTTATGTTTATGTCTCCTTGATTTTTTTGTTGTGGTAAAAGGTAACATAAAATTTACCACTTTAACTATTTTTTAAGTGTATACTTTAGTGGCATTAGGCACATTCACATGTTATTTAACCATCACTACTCCCCATCTCCAGAACTTTTTAATCATCCCAAACTGAAATTCTGTACTCATTAAGTAACAATTTTCCATTTCTTACTTCTTTAAGGCCCTGATAACCGCTGTTCTACTTTATGTCTCTAAGAATTTGACTATTCCAGGTACTTCATATCAGTGGAGTCATACAATATTTGTTCTTTAGAGCCTCATTCCACTTAGCATAATGTCTGCACAGTTCATCCATGCTGTAGCAGGTATCAGAATTTAATTCCCTTTTTAGGGCAGAATAATATTTCATTACATGTATTACACCTTTTGTGTATCCATTCATCTGTCAATGGCCATTTTGGTTGTTTCCACGTTTTGGCTATTGTGACTAATGTTGCAATGAACATGGGTGTACAAATATCTGTTCATGTCCCTGCTTTCAGTTCTTTTGGGTGGATACCAGAAGTAAAATTGCTGCATCATATAATGGTTTTATGTAATGGTTTTATGTTTAATTTTTTGAGGAACTACCATACTGTTTTCCACAGGGGTCACACATTTTGTAGTCCCACCGGCAATGTACAAATACTCTAGTTTCTCCACATCCTTACCAACACTATTTGCTTTCTGTTTTTTGATAATGGCCATCTTATTGCTTCTCAGCCTTTCAGCTAAATCAAACAATAATAGCATCCTAATGTATGTAAAAGTAGTCTCTCATTGTGGTTTGATCTGCATTTTCCTAACAATTAGTGATGTTGAACATCATTTCATGTACTTACTGTCCATTTGTATATCTTGGAAGTCTTTTGTACATTAAATTTTTTTTCTTATTGGGTTGTAGTTCTTTCTATATTCTGGTTGTCACTTATCATGAAATACAGTTGTCCCTTAGTATTTGTGGGAGTTGGTTCCAGGACCCCCTACAGATACCAAAATCTGCAGATGCTTATGTCCCTGATACAAAATGCCTGGTATTTGCATATAATCTATATACATCCTCACATATACTTTAAATAATCTCCACATTACTTATAATACCTAATACAATGTAATTGTTTTATAAATCATTGTAATGTATTATTTAGGGAATAATTTACAAGAAAAAAAGTCTGTACATGTTTAGTACAGTTCTTTTCCAAATATTTTCAGTCTGTTGGTGGAATCCATAGATGAGGAACCCATGGATACGGAGGGCCAACTGTATTTTCTCCTGTCATGTGGGTTGTCTTTTCACTCTGTTGATAGTATCCTTTGATGGACAAACAATAATTTTAATGAAGTCCAATAATTTTAATGAAGCCAAAACAATAATTTTAATGAATTATCTTTTTTTAAATTGTTTTTATTGCCTGTACTTTTGGTGTCTTACCTGTGAAATCATTGCCAAATCCAATGTTACAACGTTTTCTCCTATGTTTTCTTCCAAGAGAATTAAGGTTTTAGACCTGTATGTAGATCTTTGATACATTTTTAGTTGATTTTTGTATATGGTGTAAGGTAAGTGTTGGAAAAAGCAGCAAAGGAAAAAGGACTTACAGAGTGCTTACATAAATTGGTTATGAGTAACATATAAACAAGGAACAACAAACTGTGGAAGGCTGAGGGAGGTCTCTCTGAGGAGGAAAGCCTCTCCATGCCTCATGTTCCAGTGCAGGGTGACCTAGGCTCTGTTACCATAAACATTGTGCTCAAGGACGTAAAACCCCTTCATTGCACTATGACATAGCCAGACTTGTAGGAAACTTGTAAGGCCTGCATTCCATCAGCTGTACATAGATAATAAGCTAAAGATAACCACATGTTGTTGTTTTGTGAAACTCTCAAACCACCACTGTTATCAATCCTTAGAATGACACACCAGTTCTGGCTCACTGATTCACTCTGCCATCACCCTCCCCACCATCACTATCCCTACCCTGTAGATCAAAGTGATTGTAACCAATAAATAGTGTGGATGATCAGAGCTCGGGGTCTTCACTGTCTCCTCCAAAGTAATGAGTGATGGCGCCCTGGTCCTACTATCTCTCTTAATCTGTCTTGTACTCATTCCTTCGTCACCACTGAACATGGGGTACCCACAAGTGATGTAGGGCTGGTTCCCTATAGTAAGAGGAGTCTAGCTTCATACTTTTGCATATGGACATTCAGTTTTCCCAGCAACATTTGATGAAAAGAATGTCTTCTTCCCCCATTAAATGGTCTTGGTACCCTTGTCAGAAATCATTTATCCACATACACAAAGGTTTATTTAGGTTCTCTATTCTGTTCTATGGTTCTGTATGTCTGTGTTTATGCTAGTATCATATTTTGATTACTGTATTTTGTAGTAAATTTTGAAGTCAGAAAGTGTGAGTTCTTCAACTTTATTGTTTTTTTTCAAGATTGTTTTGGCTTTTCAAGGTCCCTTGATATTAATTTTAAGCATGGGTATTTTTTTTTTGTTTCTGCAAAGATACATTGAGATTTTTATAGGAATTGAGTGGAGAGTTCTGTATGTCTATTCCATCCAGTTGGTCTACAGTATTGTTCAAGTCTTCTGTTGTCCTTAGTGATCTTCTGTCTGGTTGTCCTATCCATTATTGAAAGCAGGTTATTGAAGTCTCCTAATATTACTGTGTTGCTGTCTATTATTTCTTTCTTCAGTTCTGTTAATGTTTGCTTCATATATTTAGGAGTGCTGATGTTTGGTGCATACATATTTATAATCATATCTTGGTGAATTGACTTGTTAATCATTCTATATTATCCTTTCTAGTCTCTTGTGACAATTTTTCATTGAAAGTCTATTTTATCTGATATTATTATAGGTACCCCTGCTCTCTTGTGGTTACTTTTTACATGAAATATTTTTTCCATCCTTTCTATTTCAGCTTATGTGTTGGATCTAAAATGAATCTCCTGTGTGAAGCAGAGTGTTAGATTTTGTTTTTTAAATATCCATTCAGTCAATATGTCTTCTAACTAGTGAGTTGGATTATTCATATTTAAAGTAATTATTGATGTGGAAGGATGTACTATTGCTGTTTTGTCACCTGTTTTCTGTACGTCTTGTGGCTTTTTGGTCCCTCATTTCTTCTCTTACTGCCTTCCCTTTGTATTCCACTGACTTTTTTTTTATAGTGACATACTTTGATTCCCTTTTCATTTTCTTTTGGGTATACTAAATAAATCTTTTTCTTTGTGGCTAACATTGTAATTACATAACAGATTTCAAATTTATGCAATTTATGTTACACTGATAACTAATCTTCATTAGCATGCAGAAATTCCCCTTTACCATTATTTCTTTTGTTATTGTTGTTAAAATTACATTTATATATTGTATACCCATTATAGATTTTTTGTGTAATTTTATAGATTCTATACAAGAATTAAAAGTGGATTTATGCACCAAAATTACAATAACACAGGATTCTAAAGTTGTCCATATGTTTACCTTTAATGGGGAACTTTATACTTTCATATGATTTTGTATAGCTGTCTAGTATCTTTTTGTTTCAATTTGAAGGATTCTCTTTAGCATTTCTTGTAGCAAACATCTAGTGGTGTTGACTATACATGTTTTATCTGGGAATGTCTTAATTTCTTCATATTTGAAGGACAGTTTTGCTAGATACTATTCTTCATTTAATTATTTTTATTTTTTTTAATTGCATTTTAGGTTCTGGGGTACATGTGAAGAACATGCAAGATTGTTGCATAGGTACACACATGGCAGTGTGATTTTCTGCCTTCCTCCCCATCACCTATATCTGGCATTTCTCCCCATGCTATCTCTCCCCAACTCCCCACCCCCGCTGTCCCTCCCTCCCCCACTTTTTGTTTTTTTTGAGACACAGTCTTGAGTACAGTGGTACGATTTCAGCTCACTGCAACCTCTGCCTCCCAGGTTCCAGTGATTCTCCTGCCTCAGCCTCCCAAGTAGCTGGGATTACAGGCATGCGTCACCATGCCTGGCTAATATTTTGTATTTTTAGTAGAGATGGGGTTTCACCATGTTGGCCAGGCTGGTCTTGAACTCCTGACCTCAAGTAATCTGCCTGCTTCAGCCTCCCAAAGTGCTGGGATTACAAGTATGAGCCACCTTGCCTGGCCCAGTTAATGTTTTTGAATATACCGTCCCATTCTTTCTTAGCCTGCAAGATTCATACTGAGAAATCCGTTGATAATCTTATTAGGCTCCCTTGTATGTGATGAGTCATTTTTTCTCTTGTAGTTCTCAAGATTGGCTCTTTGTCTTTGACTTTCAGTAGTTTGATTGTAATGTGTCTTGTGTGTCTCTTTGGGTTTATTATAGTTAGAGTTTGTTGAGCTTCTTGAGTTTATACGTCTATTTCTATCCTCAGATTGGGGAAGTTTTTGGCCATTATATTTCAAATAAGTTCCCTACATTTTTCTTACTGTCTTCTCCATCTGGGATCTTCATAATGCATATATTGTCCTGCTTGATAGTGTCTCGTAAGTCTCTTAAGCTCTGTTCACTTTTTAATTCTTTTTGCTCCTCAGACTTGATAATTTCAAACAAGTTATCTTTAAGCTTGTTTATTCTTTCTTCTGTCCAAGTCTGCTGTTGAATCCCTCTAGTGAATTTTTAAGTTTGACTATCCTAACATGCCTATTATATATATATATATTTTTTTTTTTTGAGATGGAGTTTCACTCTTGTTACCCAGGCTGGAGTGCAATGGCGCGATCTCGGCTCACTGCAACCTCCGCCTCCTGGGTTCAGGCAATTCTCCTGCCTCAGCCTCCTGAGTAGCTGGGATTACAGGCACGCACCACCATGCCCAGCTAATGTTTTGTATTTTTAGTAGAGACGGGGTTTCACCACGTTGACCAGGATGGTCTCGATCTCTTGACCTTGTGATCCACCCGCCTCGGCCTCCCAAAGTGCTGGGATTACAGGCTTGAGCCACCGCGCCCGGCCTGCCTATTATATTTTTCATTTCCAGAATTTCTGGTTGGTTCTTTTAATAATTTCTATCTCTGTTGATATTCTCCTTTGTTCATACAGTTTACTTGATTTCCTTTAGGTCTCTGTCCATGTTGTTCTTTACTGTTTGAACATATTTAAAACAATTGTTTGAAAATCTTTTTCTAGTAAGTGTGATACCTGTATTTTTTCAGGGATAGTTTGCTGCTAATTTATTATTATTATTGAATGTTCCATGTTTCCCTGTTTATTTTCATACACTGTGATTTTGGGTTTTTAAATTTACAATGGGTATGTTGGGGATTTGAAAAAAAAAAGAGACCCAGCTACTTCTCCCATTCTCTGAAGACTGGCTCTTTGCCATAGAAGTCCTTTCCTAATTATCTTGGCCTTGCTTCTGAATTTCGAGATCACATCAAAGAGAAAGCTAAAGATCTTCTTAGGTCTTTACGGAGCATGCATCTTGCCTGGGCCTGTTTGTGGCTTTTTTGAGTCTCTGTATAGATGACTGCTTTTAATTATCTTAAATTTTCCAAGAGATCTTTGTGGGGTCTTAATGGTCTGTCATATGTCTCCACTTATAATCTTTTGCCCCAGGCATCTGTAGGGTCAGTCTCTCTGTGGCTTTGCTGAGCCATGACTACTGCTTCTCCTCATCTGAGATTTAAATCCATGCTTGTCTCCCAGCTTAGATTTGAGTTAGGTGAATAAGGGATCAATCATTCAGGCAGCCTCCAGACAAGTTAGAATGTTGCAAATAAGGTCAGCCTTGTTCCTTCTGGTTCAAGGGATGGTGATATGATTTGGCTTTGTGTCCTCACCCAAATCTCGCCTTGAATTGTAATAATCCCCATGTGTCAAGGGTGGGACCAAGAGGCGACAATTGACTAATTGGGGCAGTATTCCCCATGTTATTCTCATGATAGTGAGTTCTCATGAGATTTGAAGTTTTATAAGCATCTGGCATTTCCCCTGCTGGCACTCACTCTGTCCTGCTGCCCTGTAAAGAAGGTGTCTGCTTCTCCTTTGCCTTTTGCCATGACTATAAGGTTCCTGAGGTCTCCCCAGCTATGCAAAACTGTGAGTTAACTAAGCAGTTTTATAAATTATAAATATATATATATAAATATATATATATATATATTTATAAATATATATATATATATATATATTTATAAATCTTTCTTTTATAAATTACCCAGTCTCAGATGTTTCTTCATAGCAGCATGAGAATGGGCTAATACAGGTGGAATTGGGAACTGCCATCTCCTCCAAACCAAGACAGTGGCTGGGGAGGGGTGGAGCAAGGGTGAGCAAAAATGCCATGACATGTCCTACTGTTCTGAATGTAGCCATTCCTTGATTGTTTACTTGGTTTCTGTAAACCTTTGACTGTTTTCCAGAGTTCCTGTCAAGTTATTTAGCCAGTGTACCGTTGTTTCTTTAATGTTTATTAAGGAGTATGAGGGCCTGAAGATTCTTTTTTTTTTTTTTTTTTTTGATGGAGTCTCACCCAGTTGCCAGGCTGGAGTGCAGTGGTACAATCGCAGCTCATTGCAACCTCCACCTCCTGGGTTCAAGCGATTCTTCTGTCTCAGCCTCCTGAGTAGCTGGGACTACAGAAGCATATCACC